GTAATCTGCAGAACCGCACGAACACCTTGTCGTGCTCCGCACCCACCCTTTGCAGGTCCTTCCACAGACCTCCGCTGCGCTCCAGCATCCRCACCTGCCTTCTCCGACAGTTCATGTGTCTTCCCAACTCCTATGTTGCGAAGAAGCTCAAGGCCATGCCGTGAACCACCCCCCCTGCAAGCATCGTCAGCGCCCCCGACACATCCCGGAACATGAACGGGGTGATGGCGACTGCTTCAAGAATGGCCATGGCCGCAGCGTTGCGCCTATTCACCCACTGGGTCATGAGGAGAACGAGCATGAGCATCATGTCCTCCCACTCCTCATCCGCAATAGGCACATCCGATGGAGACATGGGCACAATGTCACTGTTTTGCACACAGCGTCGGCCCTTGCACACCACCTCTGCGGAACGCGTGACGATAGCAACACCTTCCGCAACCCCTATTCCTCGGCAACCCCTCCACCACATTCGCCGGCTATGGCTTCCCGTCAGTGTTCCGTGCATGCACGCTCGCTCTGGAAGGACCGCGTTGGGGAACAGAGTTCTCCAACGACCACTAGGGGGGCGGGCGGGTGTTTGGGGGCGATGAAGTGGGACACCCGCCGATATTCCCAACGGTCATTTCCGGCCATGGAGGGGCCCGGCGGCGTGCGAACCAGGCCACCCCGTTGTGATGTATGCGGTACCTGTGTGGCGTGTGCCACACGCGGTCGCGCACGGCCACACACGGACATGTCCTGGTGCATGCCGACAAAAGGGCCTGGACCACATCCCCAGGCCTACTTGCCTTTTCAGGAAACACCCTGGCTGTATTTCCTAATCGGGCATGGAAAACAGTTTCCAGTCCCGAAAGTCCAGGGCTGCGGTGGGGTCCCAACAAAACGCGGAAACTTCTTTCCAAACACGGTCGGCCGATTTTTGTGGCCAAAGCCTTTCCACGCCGCCGGCCAGTGGGATCCAAGCCTCCGCATGAGAGGCAGGGGGAGCAATCCATGGGCCTCGTGCAAAATGAGAATCAATTTTCCGCTAGAACATGGAAAGACACACGGCCATGATTTGTGTCTTTTGGGCATGTCGAGAGTAGTGGGCGGACGCCCTATTGCTTTGTCAGCCCCCTTCTTTTCAAGGCATTCTCACGCAGCCCTGTAGACAATCCCCTTCTTTTCAAGGCATTCTCAGGAAGCCCAGTCCACAATGCATCTGACTGTACCTCTGGCCAGGCATGAGGAGGTACGACAAGGCCTCAGTAGCTTGCTATTCATTTTTAAACTTTTTCTTTTTTTTTTCTTTACTTTTTTTTTTTCTCTTTTTTTTT